TAATATACAATTGGATTAGAGTTTTAATTTTTCATTCAGCATTAAGCAATACTGACTTCCAAACGCTAATCTGAATTATCTATATGTTTGTAGAAATATGCATTTATTAAATTCAGCACATATACATACGGCAGAAGATTTAACGTATTTATTAAAATTCTTATCAGTTTATTTGTTAATTTAAAAAGTAACGATTCTCGTGCATTTCAGTTGTAAATTTATTTTTACACATTCTAAAATCTAATATTACAAATTTTATCTATCACTATCATCATTCTCATCATCACAATTATCATCATTATCAGTATTATCACTATCAGTATACATTTCGTCTCCACCCGATGCATAATCCGTCTTCGTGTCATCTCTACATTTATCCATTTGGGATGATGTACATACATCTGGCATTACACAGTTACTGAAATGGGAAACAAGTTATTTTTAAGTGTACGGGAAAAGTTATTGACATGAGGTTCATTAAAAAGATGTTTGATTCCTATAGTCCATGCAGTATAGTGTATTTACTACAAGTGTGTGTATAATTTTGTGTATATACATGTAAATGTGTGTATGTTATTGGCATAGAAAATTTTATCAGAAATAAGTACCACATTATAATACATTAATAAACCCCATCTCAATAGCTATTCCCGTACAGTTAAAAATAACTTGTTTCCCATTACAGTTACTGTGTAGCGCCAAATGTATGTGAATATAAAGGTTTGCATCAATACATGGAAAAGTATAAATTTATCATTCAATGAAATGTATCGTGCTTTCAATGTTAGAGATTTTTTGAAGGGAGAACGTTTTAAAGGGAGAGGAGGGGCGATCTGTAAAATACTCAACAAAAATTATTTATCGATTGAACGAAAGGAAATACAAGATATGTACTTTAGTCTTAAACATTTTTCTTATAATCGAATAGACTATAGATTATAATAAATTTTATTTGCTGTCTCATAAATGGAGAGGAATGCTCCAAATACCGAAATACGATATTTTTTTAGGTTTTTGACAGCCAAAAAAATAAGAAGTGCTTTCATAAGTAAAATTCAACAGAAAAAATCCAAGATATGGGTGAACTCAAAATACATTCTGTTTTTATTGATAGAAAGCCAGTAGATTGTCTGAATTCACCATAATAATGTATATATATGTACATACACCTCATTTGCATGTACTGAGCAGATTTTTGTAACCTTGAGAGTTGGATCCTTGTAGCCTATTATTTTAGGAACAAAATAAGCCCAAACTAGGATGATGGAGTGAGAATTCGTAAAAAGTAGGAATTTTAGCCATTTTTGGGCTTTCTGGAATAAAGTGAATTGAATCTTACTGCAATTTGTACAAATTTGTTGATTGATTATGATATTTGCCGCCATCTTGTATCCAACATTTCGAACTTGGCTAATCGGACCCCGGGTTCGTAATCAGCGATCCATAATCACCTTGTAAACCAAACTTGACACAAATTGGTTGATTTTTGATAATTTTGGCTGCCATCTTGGATCCACCATCTTTAATTTGGCAAACTTGACCCTGAATCCGTGATCAGCGGCCTTAAAAACCCCTGAATACCAAATTTGACACAAATCGGTTGATTTTTGATAATTTTTGACACCATCTTGGATCCGCCATCTTTTATTTGGCAAACTTGACCCTGAATCCATGATCAGTGACCTAAAAAACCCCTGAATACCAAATTTGGTGGAATTTTATTTATTATTACCACGTTTTTATGTACCCTGAGTAATTGGACTACCAAAATTTAACATATATATATTTATATATACCATTTTCATATGTATATCGAATTTTCCAACCTCTGAGCGAAACGAATCCTTGAAGCCCATCATCTTACGAACAAAATGAGACCAAAATCAGGTGGATAGAGTGAAAATCTTGGGGAAGCAAGAATTTTGACCGCTTCTTGGGCTCTCTGGACCACTGTGCGACGCAGAGATTGCGCCCCCTCTAGTCAAAATCAGGCAAAAAACCTTGCATGATAACAAACGGCTTAGATCAGATACACATGCGCATAGCTGCTTTTGATTAGCTAAACGTAAGCTGCAGGAGGTGATCATCGTTCTCTTTCTATCCTGCCAAGTATGCCAATCAGAAACAGCTATGCGCATGTATATATTTATGCTCTAAGCCGTTTGTTTACATGCAAAAATTTTCGCCTAATTTCGGCTAAAGAGGGCACAACCTCTGCGTCGGCTTGGAGTGAATATACAGATGTTTGTTATCCTGAAGAGGGCATTTGTGGCATGGCGAAGTACTGTTCTATAAAAGTTTTGCTCAAGAAATAGTCATGGTCTAACAACCTCGTGTTCTTCTATGAGTAAATTATATTTAATTTTTTTTACAGTTTCTAGTTAGAGCGAGTTTAAATTAGTTTTCTCTGACATTGAAAAATACTCTACGACGGACGACAGTAACTTGCAAGATATCAAAGTTTACGGGTTCAACTGGTCCTTGAAGTTTACCATGAGCTATAAGGAAAAAACCATCGAGGTTAAAGAAATGTGACAACAAAGTAAAGACAGAAGAGCTGCAAAGAAGTATTATCAAAGTTTAGTGTTGAAAAAAGTAACGTTCGATCATTTACATACATTTATTTTACATTTCGTCGATTGCAATTTTCACACATTCAGCGAAATATTAGATTATATGCCTATCGTAGCGCAGGAATTTAGAGACTTTATTTTAGAAAAAAGTAGTAGTATGCATGAAGCACAAATTGATTACCACATACCAAACGTTGTAAAAAATATTGTGAGTGACATGAATGATAACGATATGCAGAGTATGTACGAAAAAATTGTAGCACATAACATTTCAAAACAGAAGGTTTCGACAAAAGATCTCATGACTGATATTGCATCTTCTTACGTTAATGCCCTTATTAATGCTGTGAATTATAGAATAAAACCAAATAAATATATTTATCTTTTTGTTATTTAACCGTAAACTAACGCTTTTTTCTTAAAACAATACAAATAAAAATATAAAATAAAAGTGAAGAAGCCGAATACACTTTCGATATACTCGTTTATTAATAATTAATACAATCAAACACATACACAAGTAAAATATGAGGAGGGGGAACGTACAGTGACCTGCCCGAAAAGTCTCTCTAGTTCAGGTGTAGGAGAAGGGTTTACCCCCTCCTATAGTAAGTATACTGTGGCATAGTGGCTCCGTTTATTAACTCCCACCAGGTGGTTACCTTCTCACATATTACCGAGGGTTCCTAGGCAGCACATACTCAGTTTAAGCTGCTTGTATCCGCTTCACTTTTTTCGCCTCAATGGGATGCGTACACTATGATGACTAGATTCTTAAATTTTATACAAAAATTGAAATTTTACTCCCCGTCAGGGGTCATAAAGAGGGTGATCATGGGCAATAGCAGTATTAAATTTATTTTTTGTTTATTTTTTCAGTTTTACCATTACAAAGAACATGGAATACACATCCATAATAATGTTATAGTAAAATTGAAATTTTCACACCCCGTAAGGGGTGGTAATGGGGTGCTAGCGGGGAAACGGGCAATTAATAGTAGTTTTCCTACGAGTTTGAAAAGTCTTTGTTTGCGAACCGAGAGGTTTGCGGCCCGAGCCGAAGGCGAGGTCCGTAACGAGGTTCGTAAAGGAGACTTTTCGAACGAGTTCCGGAAAACTGCTTTTTCGCCCGAGGAAGTACCAGCCTCCCAAAACCACC